TAACATTTGAATACACCATATACTTTGGTAGCACTACTGTCACTCTGAGAAACGAAATTATTTGAATAATTTATTAAGTTGATTGATTGACTAATCTGGGTTCAAAAAGTAACGCAAACTAGAATTGTACGAAGCATGAATAACTGGAAAATACGAGTGGAGGAGCGTTGATTCTCAGTTCTAGTACATTCAATTTGTCGTAATAATTCCTAGAACAGTGAATCACAAGCGGGTCAGCAGCAGCACGCAAATTACGGTGGAAGATTTGCATGCACGAAACGGACATGGATATGAATATTTTGTCAGCAGTAACTCATATCTACCGTGAATTACTTGCAGCTGAGATGCAGAGAAATTTCCGTCATTATCCTGTCGCATTCAGCCAAAGAGTCCGTTACCACCTATATTCTTAAGGACAAGGCAAAACAGAAAAAACTGAAACACATGCAGCAAATCCTGACTTTTATCGATCAGGTTCGATACAACTGCATCAAAACCATATCCAACTTAAGAAAACCCACATTAAAACATGCTCACCGTAATTATGTCGATGATATTGAGTTTGCATTGCAAAACGACACGTTTGTCTTCTTCGGACATTTCTAAATCGGCGTTGCTCAAAGGACGCTTAGCGATTTGCTTCAGGGGAACCAGGAGGTTATTCGGTCGCTGAAGAGCTAAATAATAAAAGTCAAGTTTGTCGTCGTTTTGAGAAATTCCATATTTAAGGCTTTATTCATGTTGCAAGCTGATGTTCCTCTATGCTGCAGCGCAACATAGTCGAGTAGCGTAAGCCAGTGTCATATTAAAAGGCAGCACCAATTAACACATTGGGAGTCATCAGTTTTACGTTGTGCTAATAATCAGTTTTGTCCGTATTTGATTATGACCTATAAGCAAACCTTATTTCTGCAATTACGAGCTCTGCAGCCAAAACATCATAAAAGATTATAGTAACGAAACTGAAGAACACTACCCTCATGGAATCGCTGATGCTGGAAGGTTTAAGGTAGTTATGGCTTCAGCTTCAATAATTTACTTTCCTTCTAAAACCTAATATAGCAAATCAATCTGCCGGCAAAGCTCGCAATTTGGAACCGTTAGAGCTTCACTTGTGCCCCAAAGAAATAGCTTGACTATGGAAGTAGATGAATGAATCAACAAATGAATAAGTAGTTGAATGTATGCATAAATGCGAAATAATCAATGAATTCAAACATTTTCCCTAACCTATTTGTTTTTTACTCTCCTAACACAATGGTGATTAGCATTAATCCTGAATCCAACATGTTCAGAACAACTGATGTGAGTTACCCAGCAGTCAGACAACGTTTTACAACACTGCAAACACAATGCCTCAAATAATGCTGGGAATAAGAGACCGCTCGAGCACAAAGTCTAGACGAGCAGTGCGATTTTCCTTGGAGAGCGCTACAATCCGTGAACAAACAAACATTTGTTATCGATTCAACAGAAGAACCAGCGGCATGCACATAACTAAAAAGCAGATGTCACCAGATTTGGATAAGACAAAACCGCTACGGTCATCTATTCAACTGTTGGGAGATGGAGGCTACCAAGCAAAGCCACTGCAGTCATTATGAATAAATTATAGAA